CCATGTCTCTGCTTGTGCCCCTCGCCTCAGTTCCTACAACAATCAACAACAGTGTCCGCTTCAGTGTCGAGCTTCTTTCAACTTTCGTGCTTCTTTTATTATTTCTTATTATTATTATTATTATTATTTTTATTATTATTATCCAGCAAGAGCTTGACAGAAATTGCACAACTGCGAAGCGAGAGTTAAAACGCCGAAGGAACATGGCAGGCCGAGCGACCAAAGAAACATGGACAGAGAGCATTTTGTTCATTTTCATTCTCTATTCTTTTCTTTCTCGTTTCGTTCCACATCTTAAAAAATTCTCGATTTTTCGATTCTCGAGAAATTTCGATATCTATATCGTTGCTCTCTGAACCGATCGACTGGTCCTTGGAGCGTAAAAAGGTAAAGCGACAGATCGTCCTGAAGAGAGATCAGATCACATCACTCTGATGAAACAGAGTTATTAAAATGTAGATAAATAGTACGGATTATCGATAATAATTATCGTGCAGCTTTTTGTTCAATTTTTAGAGAGAACGATTAGTATCCATGGGTGTAGATAGTATTTTTAATTGAATATATAATTGAATATTAAAAAATATAAAAAGCCTAAAAAAAAAAAATAAAATAAGAAAAAATCTTGAAAGCATTGTTTATCATTCAATATCTCGTACAATGGAAAAAGCTAAATGCAAAAACTAATATGAAAACGAAACGATCCATGTATCCAAAAGTTCCTCAATGCCATCAGCAGGAATGAAGCGAGAATGAGGAATGCGTGAAAGCGACAAAGAATAAATCTATCCAAAATATCGAAAGGATTTCGAAGAAATATCCCAAGTTTATAAAAATTACATTTCCAATTTTTTTTTCCAAAAATTCCCAAAAACCCTTTCGATCATCCGAAAACGGATAGACGATGACAGAGAGAAAGGGGTTGCAACTAAACCGTTCCTATCCAAATATAATCACTCACCAATTCCTTCGTATCACCTCGAAGGGGGTTGATCCTCACTCGTCTCGCTCACTCTCGCTCAACAGGGGATGGAATCGGTCCTAACCGAGTGTAAGGACTCGTGGATGGAACGACGGTAGACCGTGGTGGAAGCGACGACGGGCTTCGGGGTGGTTTCCAAGGGACTGCTTCCAGCCGAAAACGCCTGGACGACTCTCGAGCCTCGGCCTGACTCGGCCTGCCTCGAGTCTGGCTGACCCAGTTTCTCTCTCTCGTGCAACCCACGCACCCTACCCTCCACCTGGCGGGGGTTGTTTTTGCGTGGGCGGGGCGACGAAACCCTCTGTGCACGGGTGCTCGGGGTGCTGTGGCACGGGGGTGGCCCGCGTAGGCGTGTCGAACCTCGGCCAATCCCCGTTCGAACGTCACACTGACGTCAGAGAGGATAGTGTGACGTATCGCTCCACGCTTTATCTGTTTCCTCCGGCCCTCGAGATACATCGAGGCATCATCTCGCGCGGTTCTCGCCGCAAGGGAATGCTGCACCCCTTGTCTCCTTTTATACGTTTACGAATGCGCTCCCGAGGTGGTTACCAGATGGGCTTCAAGGGGGCTACTTAGCCGCGAAATCTCCGGCACGCTTGCCCTTTAGCCGAGATATCCGCGTTCATCGGGGTGGCGAGGACAGTGAAATTCTTGGAGGATGATGGTGATGGTTTCGAGTGTAGCTTTCTTATCGACGATGTTGAAATTATTTCGCTGGTGGATGAAATTAATTGGTATATTAATTGTAAAATTTGGGCAAAACGTGAAAAATGAATTGCACGCTCGTAGATCGATGTAGATCTTTCTTTTGATTTCTTTCGATTGGACGATTGGAAATACGAGTTCGTATATACGAAATCGTTGGAATAATAGGAATCATATTTGGAATAGAAATTGTGTCCTAGAATATCGAGTATTCCCGGAGGATCTCGAGAAATTCAAATTATCTGTTTAAAAAGGATTGGAGCTCGGTGAAGCTTTCTAAGAATTCGTGACTCGTTTCAGTTCAGAAGAACGCAAACGAACGCGTCGAACGTTCTTCTGGGATGGAAAAACGATGAATGGGGAGGATGGTGAAAAAAGAAAAATCTCCGATCGCCGATTTCTTTTCGCGGAAAATGTCGCGACGCATGCCCGTTTCCACTCACGTTTCCATTCTCGTTTCCACTCTTGTTTCCACTCTCGTTTCCTTCGCAGGGGTTGAAAACTGAAAGAAAGGAGAGAGAAAGAGAGAGTGAGAGAGAGAAAGAAAGAGACAGTGGAAACAGAGTCGTAACGAGAATGAAAAACAGAGGAGGAGGAAGAAACAGAAAGGCAGAGGAGGTGGGAAGGGGTAGGAAGGACAAAATGGACGGCAGCCAATCGGATGGCGAGGCAAAATGGCCGACAGTGAATTTAATCAATACTTCCTCCGTCCTTCGTGAGAGGGTGGAGGACAGGGCAAGACCCAGAAAGTGCCAGGGACGTAACAACTCGTTCTCGAGTGTACTTAATCGCATCGTCGAGGTCGATACACCTTCTCCTCTTCTCGTACGTTTTTCAGACACCACCGGATAATGCGAATTCGTTTCTTTCTTTCAACGATCCTTCTTGTTCCACCACTAATCTTGATGTAAAATCGTTCGTAAAATCATCCAAAGAGGAGGGCTTTGAGAAAAACAAAAGAGTTTGTTTTAAGCAGGATAACAGTATCCCCGACCTCACCTTCCATTTTATCGGATAATTTGTATCGTTGTACGTCGAGTACGCCATTTCTGTCGATTGCGATTACGATTATTTCATTATATCAGTATACATGACAAGTCTCGTGAAGATAAAACAAGTCGAGTGACGATTATTATCTTCGATTCGTTGAAACGTGTCTTTAAAATCTTTTGATATAATTGTTTAATCGAAATATTCAATAAGAATTTCTCGACATCTTATTAGTTGTAAAATTTTGAAAGGAAGATGGAAAGGCTAAGATGAAAAAATTCAACAGATATTCTTTCTTACTTCTCAGAAAGTTTAAATTGAAACGATGGAGCCTGGAGCAAATAAGAGAAGAATCTTTGAACGTCTCTGGATAAATCTTTCGATGTCGGTGCAGTGAATGCAAATTACTTGTGTCCAAGTTTCTTTTTTATTGTTTCCTCGAGGCTGTTTCCCATTTTTTTCTTGCTTTGTTTCGCGAGTAAGAAAAATCGCGAGAGAATCGATTCGAGGAATTGCGCTTTTAGATAATACGGATTATTATAGATTCCATTTGTTTATTTGTTTCGAAGAAAACGAATGCAGAATGCAAATTTATAATTTAAAAATTTTTAATCTCCTTAATTTTTTTTTCTTTTCATTCTTTTCGTAAATTAATTTGTCTATATGAATCTATATGAATCAATATAAAAATATTGTAATATATTACAATAAATTTCTGTGATATGCAATTATTGTAGTATATAGTGTATAGATTATAAATTAATTTAAACGAAAAAAAAATCAATTTTATCAAATTTTTTTTCAAGTAAGATTAAGTATTAAAAAAAAAAAAAAAATAGGTCATAATTATTTTATCTTCATATTTCATTTCAATGTCTTTGCTAACAGGATTTTATTATTTATTTCTACGATAATGGATTATCAAAGTGATTATCTTTCTCTCAAAGATCAATTCGTAAATGATCAATTATGGATTTTCAACATAAATATCTTTGCACATTTGAAGTATTTTATTTATTTTATTTATTTTTTAATCATACTTTTTATTCAAATTCGAATAGAAACTAGCGTTTTTAAATAAAGAAAAAAATAATAATTTTTCACTATACAATGTCACAATACAACGAATATTTTATTACTCTATTCAAGTACAAACTTGCGAGTGAGCAAATCGACAAAGAACATACAGAATTGAAACGAGATCTAACAGTTCGCGATCAAAGATAATTTACTCGAAGAAGATAGAATTTCTCGGGTCTATGATTGAAATCTGATCGATATCCCACATATATCATAGTATATATGTACATATCCGTATTTGTACATACGCGAAAGGATTAAACGTGAACGTGAATATTCATAGATCCGGACAACAATTATTCGTTTGTCTCTGTGAAACAAATTTCGAGTAACCTAGATTGAAAACTTTCGTCTGCGAATTTCGTCTGTACATTTATCTCGTTCGCGGTTATTTTTCATTTGGTAGGCAGATATTTCGAATCGTAAATGCCAGTGACACGATATATTCTCTCGGAAAAATTCGTATTTCACGATCAGAAAATGAAAAATTCTACCTTTAATATCGTACGAGACGAGGTTTAGTTGGAATTAAACGTTATTTCGTTCTTATTGTAATGAATATCTAATATCTTTCTATCGCATCACCTCCTATCACCTCCTTATCAAATCGTGATAAGGTTCCATGGACGAGCAGATTCAATTCAAAAGTTAATCAAAGATTTCAATTATGGCGTGAAATATGGTCGTTTCACCCCATGAATTAACAATTTAGTCGAGACTCTTATGTAATATCTTTATAATTACACAGCCTCAACTATGAATGGAGATAACGAAATGAAAAAGTAGATTTTTTTATCACTCCTTTTACAACTTTTCTAGAAGATAATTTTTACTTACTATTTACTTTTACTGTTTTTTTCTAATTGGCTATCATTATTTAACTGATTATTCATCGTTGACACAAGATATATGACTTTGATTTATCAATACAGTAATCTTGTTTTTACTAATAACAGTCGTATTTTGCAATTTACAAGGGGAAATTGAAATTTTTCGAGCTTATTATGTCACGTGAAAATGAAATTGCGAATTATATTTTATAAATAATAATATATATGTAAATGATCGAATAGAGAGACGAGCAGATATATATAATTTGTACAATTTTCAGTGACCAGTGTCTCTCGAATGGACAGTGACCTTTCTGAAAAAAAGACGAACATAAACGCGAATCGTCCATCGTTATCTTTTATTCGCGCCTCCTGAATGCGTTTATACGTAATCAAACTGTGCCGCCAATGATAGTTAATCGTCGATGATCAAACAGTCGAGTCCACTAGTCTGCACCGTTAAAACAAATTCCTCTGACTATTTCACACGATCAATACTACACATTCAGAATCTATTCTTATTGTTCTTTTGTTTTTAAATAATATCAGAGGTAAGTTATTGTTTTTCTTTTTTATTATTTTAATTTTTATTATTTCGATCGTTTTTTTCTGAACTCCCATAATTCGATCGAAATCCTACAAATGAAATTTTCTATATATAACTTTTTTTAAAAGCGTTGAAATTTTATACATTTTTATACATTGGAAAAGGAAGAAAATTTTTCAGAAAAGATTTTTCGATACGTGAAATCCTTTGTCGTAAAAAGAAATTTTAATTTTCCTGTTTGCATTCGAATATTCGTACGAATATATGAATGAATTTCAATGCTTGGTAGTCAAAGCAATGAAAGAGCAATGAGATTTCTAAGATTATTTCATGCACTGAAAAGCAACTGGTGTACAGCTTCTCCGTATTCTCACGAGAATTAATTACGAGATTTAAATTAGCGCGATAATAATACACGTGTGTCGTTTCAATTGAGCAACTCAATAAAAAATTCAGTAAAAATACATTTTCTTTTTTTTAAAATTATTTGAAATCTCGAAAACTTATTCTTCTGCAAATTTCTTTAGATTTCAATGAAAATAAATATACAAAATTAAAAATTGTATCGTCCATATTAAAATTAACTGAATTGGAACTAAAAAAGAATTCAACGTGTTTCGAATTTTTTTTCTTCGTAAATTCTTCTTTAATTCGAGAAACTCTTCGAAGCAATTCGAAACAGGAAATAAAGGCGATTCGAAGAGGTATAAGTTGCTGGTAACAATTAGTAGAATTTATAGTAAAGTTTGCTCGTTTCGAACTCGAAACGGGACCAATTATTGACACACGGCTCTCAAAAGCCGATAACGGATACCCAAGATTCTGATATTACTCTTTCCTGCCAATCGAACTTGAGAAATACAGTGTGTTCTGTAATATTTGTATCAAATTCTTCTTTCGACCAAAAAATAATCCTTTTTAGGAAATACACAATAGTTAGCTTTTTTCCAAGGAACTTCACTTGAGATCGTATCTTAAATCATATTCAATTTGATTAATCACTTTATTCATTCATTTATTTTTTTTAATTATTAAACGCTTAATATTTTTTTTTTATTTAGATATGACAAGGTATTCAATGAAGCAATATCGATTAAATACTAATCATGATACTTACATTAGAGATAATCGTCATCATGTTATGGTATTTCGAATTTCAACATACGTATCATTACGTATATATCATACATTATCATAAATCAGAATATTATGCAACATTATGCGATTAATCATTCCTTAGGGAAATAGATACATTTATTAATCATTTTATAATCAGATCATGCGCAATATACATTTCCATACATCCGTTATAGAAAACATATGCAGAATAAAAGGATTTCATCTCTTCATCCTCTAAAAATCGTTTACAACCATTTATAAAAAAACAAACGTTTTACTAATTTCCAAATAGATAAATTTATCAAACTCGAATCATTCCTCGTTCACTTTCCTCTTCCCACGTTCGTTTGTTACACAATTCGTCCCTCATTCGAGCCACCCTATGTGTGTGTACGTATATATGTGTAGATCGCTTACATTAGGGAGCAAATACCGGAGCAAAGAGAGAGTGGTGGAGATAGAGAGATGGTGAAGGATGGAGAAACTCTCGATACCCATAACCAATCCCTCCGATGCCTCCTCCGATCCCGAAACCATCGGAACGTTTCTCGTTCGCTTCCGTATTGATTAGCCATCACTTTCAGATGACGCCTCTACCTCGGTGGGTGTTGCTGTCGTTGTTGTTGGCCACGGTCGCCGCGCATCCGGTTCACCACGCATGCGTCCACCTCTGCCATGCACGGAACACCACCAGCCCCGAAATCACGGGAGTCTGCGACCACCATCGGGACCACCTCGTCCTTCAGTCCGGTGCAGCCCGGTCCCCGAATCTCTTCGTCCTCTGCTTGACCCCGTGTCATGGTGCCGCCTCGCCGGATACCCTCCGCTACGACGACACCCCCGTCTGTCGTGAGTTCAGGGAGTCGCTCGTCAAGCGTCACGGTTGCTCCTGTCGCCACGTAGATCGTGATGAGAGGGCGAGAAATTTCGATGAGAAGGAGGTGGAGGAGAAGGAGAAGGAGGATCGTCGTCGATGGGCCGAGGAATTGGAGAAGTATCGGTTGAACGAGATCGATGG